TTCTGTCCGGTTACATTTGCTAAGGTGTTCTAAGGGTCAAACTGCATCCAAAACGTACATTAACAAAAGTTCTCATTAAAGCACTCCAAGATAAATGTTTAACCTAAATATTTTAATGCTGAGCCAATCTGGTTTTTACTTGACACTGTGCCATGTGTAAAACAATCAGGCTTGTTTAAAGGAAGCCCCCCTGGAAAGGACAACAAAGGAAATGGTCCCAATGCACTTTACATGTGCTTTAAATGTTCTTTTCTTTAAAGCTCCGATCTTTATGGATTGTTCAGTGAGGCCATTCTAATGGCATCCATTATACAAAGGTTTTGTGATACCAGGTGTTCGTATTTGTCTGTGCAAAGATGAACAGATTCTCTAGAGTTCTCCAGTCATTCTCCACAACCTCTCCTGTGTGTGTGTCTGTGTGTGTGAGAGCATTTCAACCCCTTTTACCGGGGTGGTGTAAAACCAAGTTCACACTACATGACTGGGTCATGTGATCAGGAGTCTTCCAGTAATTTTGAGTTCATACTACACAACTGACTGATAAAAGGGGGTCCCACACCATACAATCTTTGAACAGGATAAAGCCCTGACTAGTATGCCTGGTCAAACTATGTCTGATCACAAAAACACATTAGAGCAGAGCAGCCCAAGTGATACTCCTACTCTTCTGTGTCCCCCTGCTCACAGAGGTGAAACAGTTCAGAGTCTGACCAGAACTATTGCAGACTCATCTTGATTTTAGCATGCCAGAAATCCACTTGAAGTCTTGACACGTCAATGACCCCCTCTAATCAAGTCTTTGAAGAGTTCACATATAGCAATCGGCAACTACTAATTGAATGCTGATTTGCCTCCGATCTAGGGCTTTTGTCTGTGACTTCCAAAACTTGTCATCAACTGGAAAATCTGGCTTAAAATCATGTTGTGTGAACTCTGCAAACTAGGTAGGTAGAGATGAGAGGAGGAAGAGTGACAGTGAGAAGAGCTACAGTATTTTAATCAATACTGGACAGACTTACATGTTCATCTTTCCGATGGGGAGTTCAAAACCATGGTTATTGTTAAAAGCAGTAATGTGAAAATACAATCACCATTCAAGCCCAGATTTCAAATCCTGGCAGGGGGAAGGTTAAGCTCACTTTTTTTTCCCAACAAGACAATTGGGTGTGGGATATAAGAGGAAAAGAAAGGAAAAGAAGAACAGGTGTTAAAGCTGGTAGGTTGTTAAGACGTGTTGAAAAAAGGTAGAGACTGTTAAGTGAAAATGAGATAACATAAAGAATGGAAACTTTACATTTTTATTTTTAATTCTAAGCACTTTTTAAAAGATGCATATTAAAAGAACTTTATTACTTTACACCTTCTTTGATGTCACAGTCAGTTGATGACTACACACATATATTGATACAGCTAATA